CAATGATCACAGGATCTTCTCCTTCCCAGAGGCTAGTGAAGCTTAGAAAGAAAAAAAAATGCACTCGCGATGAAATGTTCTCCGAGCTCATGCTGTCCTCCCACACTGACAGAGCACAGACGAATGCGTGGAGGCAAATAAAGTCAGAGTGCAGAAAAGCACAAAATGACCAGGAGGAGAGGTGGCGGGCTGAAGAGAGTAAGTGGCGGGCTGAAGACAGGGCTGAAGCTCAAATGTGGCGACAGCATGATGAGAGGAGGCAGGATTCAATGCTGAGGCTGCTGGAGGACCAAACCAGTATGCTCCAGTGTATGGCTGAGCTGCAGCAAAGGCAGCTGGAGCACAGACTGCCACTGCTGCCCCTGTGTAACCAACTGCCCTCCTCCCCAAGTTCCATAGCCTCCACACCCAGACGCCCAAGAACGTGGTGGTGGGGCCTCCGGCCAACCAGCCACTCCACCACAGAGGATTGCCCAAAAAAAAAGAAGGCTGTCATTCAATAAATTTTAAAGTTGTAAACTTTTAAAGTGCTGTGCTTAAAGTGCTGTGTGGCATTTTCCTTCCCTCCTCCACCACCCCTCCTGGGCTACCTTGGTAGTCATCCCCCTATTTGTGTGATGAATGAATAAAGAATGCATGAATATGAAGCAACAATGACTTTATTGCCTCTGCAAGCGGTGATTGAAGGGAGGAGGGGCGGGTGGTTAGCTTACAGGGAAGTAGAGTGAACCAAGGGGTGGGGGGTTTCATCAAGGAGAAACAAACAGAACTTTCACACTGTAGCCTGTCCAGTCATGAAACTGGTTTTCAAAGCTTCTCTGATGCGTACCGCGCCCTCCTGTGCTCTTCTAACCGCCCTGGTGTCTGGCTGCGCGTAACCAGCAGCCAGGCGATTTGCCTCAACCTCCCACCCCGCCATAAACGTCTCCCCCTTACTCTCACAGATATTGTGGAGCACACAGCAAGCAGTAATAACAGTGGGAATATTGGTTTCGCTGAGGTCTAAGTGAGTCAGTAAACTGCGCCAGCACGCCTTTAAACAGCCAAATGCACATTCTACCACCATTCTGCACTTGCTCAGCCTGTAGTTGAACAGCTCCTGACCACTGTCCAGGCTGCCTGTGTACGGCTTCATGAGCCATGGCATTAAGGGGTAGGCTGGGTCCCCAAAGATACATATAGGCATTTCAACATCCCCAACAGTTATTTTCTGGTCTGGGAATAAAGTCCCTTCCTGCAGCTTTTGAAACAGACCAGAGTTCCTGAAGATGCGAGCATCATGTACCTTTCCCGGCCATCCCACGTTGATGTTGGTGAAAAGTCCCTTGTGATCCACCAGAGCTTGCAGCACTATCGAAAAGTACCCCTTGCGGTTTATGTACTCGGCGGCTTGGTGCTCTGGTGCCAAGATAGGGATATGGGTTCCGTCTATGGGCCCACTACAGTTAGGGAATCCCATTGCAGCAAAGCCATCCACTATGACCTGCACATTTCCCAGGGTCACTACCCTTGATATCAGCAGATCTTTGATTGCGTGGGCTACTTGCATCACAGCAGCCCCCACAGTAGATTTGCCCACTCCAAATTGATTCCCAGCTGACCGGTAGCTGTCTGGCGTTGCAAGCTTCCACAGGGCTATCGCCACTCGCTTCTCAACTGTGAAGGCTGCTCTCATCTTGGTATTCATGCGCCTCAGGGTAGGGGAAAGCAAGTCACAAAGTTCCATGAAAGTGCCCTTACGCATGCGAAAGTTTCGCAGACACTGGGAATCGTCCCAGACCTGCAACACTATGCGGTCCCACCAGTCTGTGCTTGTTTCCCGAGCCCAGAATCGGCGTTCCAGAGCATGAACCTGCCCCATTAGCACCATGATGCATGCATTGTCAGGGCCCATGCTTTCAGAGAAATCTGTGTCCATGTCCTGATCACTCACGTGACCGCGCTGACGTCGCCTCCTCGCCCGGTATCGCTTTGCCAGGTTCTGGTGCTGCATATACTGCTGGATAATGCGTGTGGTGTTTAATGTGCTCCTAATTGCCAAAGTGAGCTGAGCGGCCTCCATGCTTGCCTTGGTATGGCGTCCGCACAGAAAAAAGGCGCGGAACGATTGTCTGCCGTTGCTCTGATGGAGGGAGGGGCGACTGACGACACGGCTTACAGGGTTGGCTTCAGGGAGCTAAAATCAACAAAGGGGGTGTCTTTACATCAAGGAGTATTTCAGGCAGGACTTCACGGAGGGTTCCAATAAGAAATGGTGCACCTAAGTTATTGTCCTTATTGGAACAAGGAGGTTAGCCTGGCCTCTGATTGATACATGGCTAGATTTACCTCACTGCACCTTCTCTGTGAGTGACTGCAGTGTGACCTAGAGGAATGAGTCCCCTAGACAGGGGAGGAGGCAAATGAGTACAAAACAAATCTGGTCTATTTCTTGTTTTGACCCACTCCATCTATCTTTTACATCTTTGGCTGGCAGCAGACGGTGCAGAAGGACTGCATGCCATCCACATCTCATGGCTGCTCGGCAGAAGATGGTACAGTACGACTGCTAGCCATCCTCATCTCTTGCCTGCCTGGCAGAAGATGGTACAATACGACTGCTAGCAATCCTCATCTCTTGCCTGCCCGGCAGAAGATGGTACAGTACGACTGCTAGCAATCCGTATCGCCTGCCTGCTCACCATAAGACTGTTCAATAGGACTGACTGCAGGACTAAAGAGAAAGACCTGGTCAAGTCACTCCAAATTTAGTCCCTGCGCCCATGTCTGTCCAGGCGCTCCCAGCCAACGTGGCCAGGAGCATGACGATGACGGCTACCAGTCGTACTGTACCGTCTGCTGCCACAAGGCAAGGGGTTGCTGCTACTGTGTAGCAATGCCGTACCGCGTCTGCCAGCACCCAGGAGACATAGGGTGACGGTTACCTGAGTGGGCTCCATGCTTGCCCTGGTATGGCGTCTGCACAGGTAACTCAGGAAAAAAGGCACGAAATGATTGTCTGCCCTTGCTTTCACGGAGGGAGGGAGGGAACGGGGGCCTGACGATATGTACCCAGAACCACCCGCGACAATGTTTTAGCCCCATCAGGCATTGGGATCTCAACCCAGAATTCCAATGGGCAGCAGAGACTGCGGGAACTGTGGGATAGCCACCCACAGTGCAACACTCCGGAAGTCGACGCTAGCCTCGGTACTGTGGAAGCACTCCACCGAGTTAATGCACTTAATGCACTTAGAGCATTTTCTGTGGGGACACACACACTCGAATATTAAAAACCGATTTCTAAAAAACCGACTTCTATAAATTCGACCTTATTCCGTAGTGTAGACATACCCTAAGTGTGCAAATGTATTTCCCATTACAGTGATGGTGCCCCTGTCATAAATATAAAGGGAAGGGTAAACCCCTTTGAAATCCCTCCTGGCCAGGGGAAAGCTCCTCTCACCTGTAAAGGGTTAAGAAGCTAAAGGTAACCTCGCTGGCACCTGACCAAAATGACCAATGAGGAGACAAGATACTTTCAAAAGCTGGGAGGAGGGAGAGAAACAAAGGGTCTGTGTCTGTCTGTATGCTGCTTCTTGCCAGGGACAGAACAGGAATGGAGTCTTAGAACTTTTAGTAAGTAATCTAGCTAGGTATGTGTTAGATTATGATTTCTTTAAATGGCTGAGAAAAGCATTGTGCTGAATAGAATAACTATTTCTGTCTGTGTATCTTTTTTGTAACTTAAGGTTTTGCCTAGAGGGGTTCTCTATGTTTTGGAATCTAATTACCCTGTAAGATATCTACCATCCTGATTTTACAGGGGGGATTTCTTTATTTCTATTTACTTCTATTTTTTATTAAAAGTCTTCTTGTAAAAAACTGAATGCTTTTTCATTGTTCTCAGATCCAAGGGTTTGGGTCTGTGGTCACCTATGCAAATTGGTGAGGCTTTTTATCCAACATTTTCCAGGAGAGGGGGGGGTGCAAGTGTTGGGAGGATTGTTCATTGTTCTTAAGATCCAAGGGTCTGGGTCTGTAGTCACCTAGACAAATTGGTGAGGCTTTTTACCAAACCTTGTCCAGGAAGTGGGGTGCAAGGTTTTGGGAAGTATTTTGGGGGAAAGACGCGTCCAAACAGCTTTTCCCCAGTAACCAGTATTAGTTTGGTGGTGGTAGCGGCCATTCCAAGGATAACGGGTGTAATATTTTGTACCTTGGGGAAGTTTTGACCTAAGCTGGTAAAGATAAGCTTAGGAGGTTTTTCATGCAGGTCCCCACATCTGTACCCTAGAGTTCAGAGTGGGGAGGAACCTTGACAGCCCCCAACACAGCTATCGATTTTTCATTAATTTACTCATACTAGAAGAAGTAGCAGTAAAATAAAGAAAGCTAGAGTTGTCTGCTTTTCATTCCCCGACAGAGTTAGGCAGGGGCAGGGGAAGTGGGGAAGGAGCAGTTTGTTTATGTATGCAGGTATGTCCTTGAATCCTCCTGAGAGATCTCAAAGAAGCTTTCATGGAGGTACTCTGCAATGGTCTCCCAAAGATTTCTATGGATGGCAGCCTTATTTCTTCCCCCAGAAGGACCCTTCCCACTCCAGTGAGTGATAACTTTGGCAGGGTTGCAGTAAATGGGTTAGCAGCATTCAGGCCCGGCAGCTTTGGGATGCCAGTAGCAGCTGTGCTCTCTATGCCTTTGTTACCTTCAGGAATGAGATATCAGTTAAAATCACCACTGCCTGTGTGAAACGGTGCAAGTATGCAGTGCTGTTGCCCTAGACTCTTAGTTTCATGCACGTGGGCAATTCCCTGCTCATATCCCTGATGCCTGGCAGGCTGTACTTACCATGGCTGGAGCTGTGAGTGGTGCCATGCACAAGCACTCTGACGCAGAAGTGTCAATAATCATGTCGTGTTTAATACTTTAGGGGAGCAAAGAAGGGAGTTCTGAATCTTAACTTTCACTTCCTGTTGTGACTATACTGACAATGGTACCTCTGTATGTTTTATCTGTAGCTGCTGCCATTACAGCTCTGAGGGGTTCTCTCTCCACAACTGCGGAACACCAGAGTCAGAAAAGGAGGAGAAAGAAGCAGACTTGGGTTAACATGTTCAGAGAGATCCTGTGAGCCAGTGCTGCATCAGACCACAAACAGAGAGCCTGGAGGATGAATACTGTAGACTATATGTAGAAGGAAAGTGCAGACAGAAGAAAGGCCTAGGACTCCCAGCTGCAAAAGGTAAGGAAGATGCACCAAGACATAATGGAGCTTCTCCATAAGCAAACACAGGTGTTGCAGGCTCTTGTGGATCTACAGATTCAACAATCCCATACTTGCCTCCCTTTGCAGTCCATAGAGAAGTCCATTTTAGCATCTTCCTACACTCCCTGAACATTCCATGTGGCACCAGGGGCCACATCACTACGCCTACCACTTCACCTAGGGGGACATTAAGGACAAACACAACTTCATGTACAGTGACTTGTGACAGCCACAGCTGATATATGTGCAGCTAAAATGGACATGAATTCCCCTTCTTTAAACTCTGTTCCATAATTTATTAAGGTTTTAATGTATTTGCTTTTAACTTACACAGAATTTGTTGAAGTGTTACTCAATACAACTCTATTGTTTGGAAAATAATTAATTTTTATTAGTTCCTCTCACAGGGTGGATTAGGCCCAGAGGCTCCCTGATGGAGGCCTCAGTGTCCTGCCACACCTCTTCCCAGAGAGGAGCAGAAGAGAAGTCCTCCAAGCAGCCTAGAGTGGCTGCAGGAGAAACAGTCAATCAGAGGGGCTGCTGGATCAGTCAGTCAGGAGCCAGGAAGGCCATATAAAAAGGAGCAGCAGAGACAGAGTCAGTCAGTTGCTGCCTGGAGCTGAAAGAGAGAGGATCATGTTCCTGGATTGCTAAAAGAACAGCAGGACCATGGACAGCTCAGTGCGGGTAGGGACCAGGGGAGTAATGAAAGAGCTGCTGGCCGGCTGCTGTGACTGGGTAAAGACTGAGTCCAGGGAGGGCTGCAGGAAGACAGTGTCTCCAGGGAGGAAGCCCTAGAGGTACATTCCCATACCAGGGCTGGGAGAAGATAAAGACTGTATGCCTTGGAAGGGGTTTGTTCTTTTCCACCTACAGATGGTGTGTTTGTCTCAGCTGGAGGGCCGAGTCACTGAAGACCCACTGAAGAAACCATAGACCAATGTGGGGTGCTATTGAGAGGTGGGTGCCACCCCATTCCACAAACTGAGTGACTGCAGGCACATGCACTAGACTGCGGGGTGCTTGTGAGAAGTGAGTGCTGAACTTGTTACAGTTCCCAATATATGCTGCAGAATGGCTGGCAGTATTGAAGGCACCCACGTAACTTGTGATTATGCACTTTGACATAACTTGTTGGATCAGTGACAAACACAATGTAATAATCATAAATGTACAGCAAGCACCACAAAATTAGTAGGTGCATTATCATTGTTACATTTATAGATGTGTGTTAGAATATAGATATGCAGGCCTGCCTGTAAAGGCCTATACTTTAAGAATTTAGGTGTATTTTTATCACTTAGCTAGTTATAGAGGTATAAAATAAAGAATCAAAATCACAAGTCTGCCTGTGTATGGGCCTTCTCTCACTAGGATAGTCTGAGACCTTGTTCTGAGGCTAAGGCCTTTGGCTAAGCAGCAGGGGCAGCCATAAGCTGGGAAGCGAATGGTCACATCCTCACATTCCAAACCAGTCACATTGAAATAAGGTGGTATTGGGCTGTTAGGAAATACAATCCTGTCCTGATAGTGCCTATCACCACCAGAGAAAGATGGTTAAAGAAAACTTAGTTTGATAACATCCTGTTTGGCAAGAAATCACTTATCAATGGTTGTGCTCATTTCTGTATTGTTTTATCTTTGTGGCCCCCACTTTTCTATTGTTAATTTGTCTGGTTCTCTAATTGTTTCTGTCTGCTGTAGAATCAATTTTGCTAGGTGTAAGTTAATTAGGGTAGTGGGATATAATTGTTTAGAGAATTGTTACAATGTTAGATTGGTTAGATAGATTTCAGTAAAATGATTGGTTAAGGGATAGCTGAGAATATTACTATATAAACTGGGGTCAACCAGGAAGTAGGTAGGGAGATTGAAATCACACTTGCTGGAAATTAACCCCAATAAACATTGCATTGTCTACACTTCAGACTTCTGGTCTTTTGCTGCTTTTGTGGCAAGAACCAGGGAAGTAGGAGGGTGGCCGGAAAGCCCTCTAACAATGTGCACCAAGCACTACACCATTCCTAACGGGCCACCAAACTGCGGGGCCAGATAGACACAACACATTGCTGTGGCTTGCTGTTAAAGTGCTCATTCAAAGCCTCCCTGAGCTGTATAGTGCCGCATTGTGCTCTTCTGATAACCCTTGAGTCTGGCTGCTCAAACTCACCAGACAGCCGCTGCCCTCCACACAGCAGCAACTTTCCCTTCTCTTCACAGATATTATGCAGGATGCAGCAGACAGCTATAACCATTGGGCTATTTTTCTTAATGAGATCCAATCTTGTGAGTAAATAATGCTAGTGCCCTTGCAATCTACCAAAAGCTCATTCAACTGTCATTCTGCACCTACTGAGCTGGTAGTTGACTATCTCCTTGGTGCTGCTGAAGTGGCCAGTTTACAGCTTCATAAGCAACAAGTAGGCTAGGTCCCCCAGGATCACTGTTGGTATTTCAACATTGCCAAAGGAAATCTGCCCATCAGGAAAGAAAGTCCCTACTTGTAGTGTTCTGAACAGTCCTGTGTTCTTAAATATACAAGTGTCCTGCACCTTCCCTGACCGGCCAACACTGCTATAAGTGAAGCATCCTCTATGATCTACCAGTACTTGCATAGCCATAGAAAAATAGTTATGTTAACGTACTCTGTGGCAAGGTGGTCTGGTGCCAAAAAGGGATATATGTGATATCTGTTGTTCCACTTAAGTTCAGAAACCCCATTGCTGCAAATAAATCCATTATATCCTGCATGTTGCCAAGAGTCTCCTGTGTAGCAGGAGATGACTAATGACCCCACACATTTGCATAACAATGGCCCTTACTGTGGATTTTCCAACTGCAAAATGATTTCCTGCTGATCTGTAGCAATCTGGTGTTGCAAGTTTCCACAGTGTGATCGCCACTCACTTCTCCACTATGAGTGCAGTTCTCATTCTTATGTCCACTATGCTGGAGGGCTGTGGTGAATTCGGCACAGAGATCCAGGAACGTGGCCTTGTGCATCTGAAAGTTTGGCAGCCACTGCTTATCATCCCAAACCTGCATATGATGTGATCCGACCAGTCAGTGATTGTTTCTTAAGCCCAGAAGCAGTGCTCCACCTTTTGCAACTACTCTATGAATGCCACCAACATCCTTGAATTGGTTCTTGCTATGTCCCACAGCAATCTGCCCTCCAGAAAATTGTCATGTTCCCTGTGGCTCTTCTTGCATCTCTGCAAATATCGGATGATTGTGAGTCCTGTGCTTGAAATGCTCAAGGCAATAGTGCAGAGCTGTGTAGACTCCATGCCCTGTCAGCGATGGTAGACGGGACAAATTCTGCACAGGTTTGTGGGATTTTAAAAATAGGTGAAAAAATTATGGGCATGAGATGGCATTATGGAGTGGAGAAAGTTACATGATGGGGAATTTGACCCTGCCATCCCAGTCACCCCGCATAACTTGTTTCTGCCCCATCATGCATTGCCAAAACTTCACAAAAGACAGTGCATGCAGTATGGTGGACAGTTGCACACTGGGATACCTAGCCACGGTGCACTTCATTGTGCATCAAAACAAGCACTGAGTATGCAGGGAGCCAAGCATGAACACAGACAAGTGATATACTAACTGCAGGAGCCTTATGCTGATGAAACTTATGTTGGCAAAAGTTTGTAGTGTAGATGTGCCATAACCATGCTTGTGGACCCCGCTGGCACACACTAAAAGTTCCTTAATGTGCATTGACATAGTACGGTTTGAAATGGAACTACATAAATGCATACTAGAGAACTTTTAGTGTGCAGCAGGGGATCCGCGCAGACAGCTAGTGCATGACATACTAGTGCATACTAGAATTTATACCCCAGCTAATGCACCGTGTAGACAAGCTGTAATACAGCCTGGCCAGAAGGCAGCAGGAGAGTGATATAGGAGAGATATGTAAGTCCCAGGATGAGGAGAAGCCTTATTCCCTGTAGAGGGAAGAAAGGTTTCTATCGATTTAATTAAAAGCACCTGAAGCCAATTAGAGCACCTGAAGCTAGTCACCTGATAAAACCCCCCTGCTTCAATTAGCCAGGGGAAGGAGTTGAAGTAGAGGAGAGTTTGGAGAAGTGCCATGGCTGGCTAGAAGAGCAAGACCCTAGGTAAAGAGACACACGGCTTGTGCAGAGAGAGAGGGCAGGAAGCCCCACAAGCTGAAGATCAGGAGAGGGAAGTAGCTCAGGGGAAGGAAGCACTAGTTCAAGTGGTTTACCACTATCCCTAGGGCTCCTGGGACCTGAAGTAGAGGGCGGGCCCAAGTCCCTTCCTCTCCACTACCCTTCTCTGGGTTACTAGTGGGACAGTAGATACCCTAGTTCAGGGGCAGGAAACTGCGCCATATTTGGGGTCGGGAAGGAATTTTCAGACATAGGTCAGGGGTTTGTTACAGGAGTGGGTGGATGAGAATCTGTGGCCTGCGTTGTGCAAGAGGTCAGTCTAGATGATCATAATGGTCCCTTCTGACCTTAAAGTCTATGATTCTATCAGCATAAACTTAGTATAATGGAGTGGGATTGTTTTGAGGAACTCTGAAGGATTTATCTTGGTGGTTGTCTGCCAGGATGAAGTTGTTGCCCATTTTACTGTTTGGACGGGGGAAGGGATGACCAAACATATGAATCTTGCACTGGATCATAAAAGTGGAAAGAATTGCATTCATCCTGATCTCTTGTATCCAGGAATCAAAGCCTAGGACCCCATAGTGAGACTGCTCTGTTTCCTAGATTTGTGAGCTTCTGGGGCCCACACTGGGGCCCATCAGCCACAGCTGTGGTAGTCGGTTATGCAGGGATAGGCGGTCACCAAGATCACTTTGTGCCAGATAAATTAGGTACTCTGAGGATCATGACACTGCAGGTGAATGATTTACAATTTTGCCTCCAATGTTTGTTTGCAAAATGCTAGTGAGCAGATACTGAAATTCTTGAATTGTTGTTCTTCAGAATTGTTCATGAATCTCTTCTTTCAGTTTGAATAGCACACGTACCATATTGTGGTTGTCTGATATTCAGACTTAGAAATGTGTTATGTTGGCTAGTTACAGAAATCAAGAGATACTGTGCTAGAAAAACTGGAGTGCTCTAATGTTTGTGGGAAAGTGAACACAAAAGGCAAGCACAACTGATGTTAGTATTTATTTGAACTCAAAATTTTCATAGTAATATTCCTCTATTGTATGGTTAGCCCAATATAATTTAAATAGAAATTGGAATTGGGTGAGGAGAACATGCAGAGCATCGGTGCTATTTTCTCTCACCTATTCTTTATCTTTCATCAGTTGGCTGCAGCATAATGGGCAGTTGCAGCTTCCAAATAGCCTTCACATTGTAGCCCAATCAAGAACATAAGAATGGCCATACTGGGTCAGACCAATGGTCCATCTAGCCCAGTATCCTGTCTTCCATCAGAGGCCAATGCCAGGTGCTTCAGAAAGAAGGAACTAGGGTGACCAGATGCCTGATTTTATAGTGCCGATTTTTTGGTCTTTTTCTTATATGGGCTCCTATTACACACACACCCACACCCCACCCCCGTCCCGATTTTTCACACTTGCTGTCTGGTCACCCTAGAAGGAACAGAACAGGTAATCAAGTGATGCATTCCCTGTTGCCCATTCCCAGTTTCTGTAATCTAATCTAGGAACACAAAAAGTATGGATCACTATGCCCAGGTCTGCAAGACAAAGCAAGGAGTGAATATTTTTAGCTAGGTAGAGCCACATTCTAGCTGTTATAGTTTATTTGAGCATCCATAGGGCCCTGAGACACTATCTTAACTATTGGCAAGCAGATGCCCTCTACCAGATCCTCAAAATACTTTCCTTTTCTGATTAGTATTCTCTCTATTTTATCCCAGTACATCTTGAGCCAGCTATTTTTCATCCAGAGTTCAAATTCCACCCCCACCCGCTGAAACGGTAAAACAGCTAGGAG